CGCCATTAGGCGTTTTGTTTACGGCATTTCCTGAAATTGATCTTTTAGCTAATTCTTCATTTGTATACAAGTGTCTGACGATTTTTTTTGTAAATAAACTCGGAGTTCCGCTTAGCATGTACTTATCAAACAGACTTTGGGCCATTGTCACTTCATTACCTAACTTGACCATGGCCACCTGAATAAAAATGAAAAAAATTATTACATTTGACCAAAATGTTTTTGTCGTTCTTAGAATTCTAGTGTTTCATGAATTATTAATGTGAAAACGTCTGTTCAGTCGAGAGCGACTTCAATTGAGGACCGCCACGAGCGCGCGCGTTTAGAAAACAACATGATTTGACCATACGGTAGAACCACATAAATTTATATGGTTTCACGATTTGGCTTTTTTTTTAATTACCCATATGGTTTTGAAAAATCGCATGGTTTTTTGAAAATCGTATGGTTCTTCGATTATAATTTAAACAACTACGTGGTGGTTGATCATAAAACTATATGGTTTAATTAGAATTTAAATAACCATATGGCTTTCGATCAAAAAACTATATGGTTTTCAAAGAACCATGTGGTTTTTAAAAACCATATGGGTCTTCGTCACAAAAACCATATGGTAAAACCATGTGGTTTTTTTCAAGCAGGCGGAGGAGAACGAATCCTCACATCACGTCAGCGTTTGAGTCGTTAAGAAGCATGTTGAGCTGACTATTTTCATATATGACGCGTATAAGTCATGCATACTCGCTCCGTTTAATTTTAATGTTGCATTTCGTATTTTTTTCTTTTTTACCTCTAACAACTAACAGATCAGTTGGCTTTGTCGTGAAAACTAAGCCAACATGGCTACAGAGAAGTTCTTTTGCTATCTAACTCAACGTCTAAATGTTTTCATTTATGATATTACCTTATTAAGTTGTATTCTACGTACTAGAGTATCAATAAAACATGTTACAATGTCTATTTGGTAACCTAGAACATGACATTTAGTGCCCTGTTTTTTTATTTTTAAAATTTTTAATTTTTCTCTTGTCGTCCTACAAGGTTATTAGATTACACAAATAAAAATTGATTTTTTTTTCAAAGCGTTAAAAATTCAATATGCCCTCAATTTACACGAGAATAATAGAATTTGTTCTCTTATTACTTAAATCTATCATTTAGTAAAAATTGCAGTAACCGCTTCACTATTAAACTAACACAACAGTGAAATATTTAGAGACTGTATAAAATCTAATGCATATTACCTTAGTTTCATTGTCTTGTTTGACTTCAAAACGATGGACAAATTTCGGTTTACTGTTCTCTCTCTCTTTTTTTTCCATCATTTCTTTTTTTACATCAGTTTTTCTTTTTTTGACATCGTCATCGCTTAGGAATGATTCATTTTCGTCGTCGCTAGCTATTTGGCGATTTTTTCGTTTGCGTGATGTGACGGGAGTAGTTAAGACACCATCAGATTCGTTGTCAAGGCTTTCTTTTAAACGTGGAGGAGTTGAGATCTCATATTTATGGTTATCAATTACACTCGTTCGTTCAACTTTACTAGTCTTTGGAGTTTCGATCAACCCAATGCCTGCAAATAATTGGTGACAGCCCAATGGTTAAAAAAGAAAATGAATGATAATACTGTGCTACAAGAAAATTATCACTGATAGCGACATACATGATCAAGTGTATTAATAAGGTAATGCTATCTGTACTTTGCTACACAAGGCTTCATTTCATTTACATGACATCTTACATGATGTTTGGCAGCAGGGATAACTCTGGGTGAATGAGTAAAGGTTGTTAGGATTAAATGACTGTGACAGATATAACTGGGAGATACTCTACATTAACCTCTAAATAGCCTACGGTCTAAAAGAGTTTTATGAAAAAGGAAAAAAAAAATAGTTTTATAAAAAAGGAAATATAATATTCTAAGTGATGAACGTCTAATGATATAAAAATGTCTAATTTAACGAAAAACTTATAATTGACAGCTCTCCAGTGTGATGATCAGGTTATACCATCCGCATGTACACCGAGAAACCTACCTACTACAGAAATATATAAAAATTTTTGGACTGACCTGGAAATCCACCTGGATCGGCTGGAAAATCCACGTAGGTTGACCTGGAAATCCACCTGGAATTGCTGGAAAATCCACGTGGATACACCTGGAAATCCACCTGGATTGGCTGGAAAATCCACGTGGGTTGACCTGGAAATCCACCTGGAAAAGCTGAAAAATCCACGTGGATACACCTGGAAATCCACCTGGATTGGCTGGAAACTCCACGTGGATGGACCNATATTACCTTATTAAGTTGTATTCTACGTACTAGAGTATCAATAAAACATGTTACAATGTCTATTTGGTAACCTAGAACATGACATTTAGTGCCCTGTTTTTTTATTTTTAAAATTTTTAATTTTTCTCTTGTCGTCCTACAAGGTTATTAGATTACACAAATAAAAATTGATTTTTTTTTCAAAGCGTTAAAAATTCAATATGCCCTCAATTTACACGAGAATAATAGAATTTGTTCTCTTATTACTTAAATCTATCATTTAGTAAAAATTGCAGTAACCGCTTCACTATTAAACTAACACAACAGTGAAATATTCACGTGGGTTGAAAAACGTGGGTTGACCTGGAAATCCACCTGGAAAAGCTGAAAAATCCACGTAGATGGACCTGGAAATCCACCTGGATTGGCTGGAACATCCACGTGGATTCACCTGGAAATGGCTGGATTTCCAGGTGGAAATCCACCTGGATATTTTCAGGTGGGTTAAGCGGGATCACTATCCCAAGATTGGAACTCTGCGCTGCTTCCATTCTCAAGAAACTTTACATCGAGGCAAAGGCATAATTTGATTTTCCCATCAATCAGGCCATTTTCTGGTCGGATTCCACTATTGTTCTTCATTGGCTGAAAAAGGCCCCTCATCTCCTTCGAACTTTTGAATCAAATCGAGTCGCCGACATTCAATCGCTAGGAGATCAAGTTAGATGGAAACACGTCCGATCTGAAGACAATCCAGCTGATGCTCTATCTCGAGGACAACTCCCATCCGACTTCGTTCAAAATTCTCTTTGGAACAACGGCCCTAAATGGTTAACGTTTGACGAGTCTGAGTGGCCTCAGTCGGTTGAACCATCTCCTGCTGAGGTACCTGGACTTAAAAAGAGCCTTTGTTTTATCACTCACATCTCTGCTGAGGACATCTATTCTCGTTTTTCTGATTTTGATCGCTTCGTAAGGGTTACTGCGTATATTTTGCGCTGGAAAAATTCAGTGTCCCAAGAGAAAACAGCAAAATCAGTACGTCCACTGTCTTGTGCAGAACTTGCCGAGGCAGAAATTCGAATCTTTCTAATGATTCAACGTGATAGTTTCCCTCAAGAATTTCGCCGGTTGTCTCCAACTTCTGACAAACCAAAAACCAACACAAAACCTTTTCGACAGGGGACTCGCTTTGATGATCTACATCCGTTTATCTCTGATAGGGGACTTCTACGTGTCGGCGGGCGCTTGAAGAAATCGGAGCTTCCATACAACCAAAAACACCCGATCTTGCTTCCTAGCAAACATCCTATCAACGATACGATCATCCGTCGAACACATCATGCCAATTTACATGCTGGCATTCAAACTACCCTTTACGCTATTCGTGAAAGATTCTGGATCTTGAATGGAAAGGACCAAGTTAGGAAAATCATCCATCAATGCATTGACTGTATTCGTGATCGTCCTAAAATCCTTCATACTCAAATGGCCGATTTACCTGAAGTTCGAGTCAACGAATCACCAGCTTTTTGTCATACAGGGGTCGATTTCTTCGGTCCTATCTTGATCAAAGAGAAAAAAGGTCGAAACCGGTTTTTCCAGAAAACATATGGTTGTGTGTTCATCTGCCTTGTATCCAAAGCGGTACACATCGAACTAGCTACGGATCTCTTTTCCGAAGGTTTTTTAGCTGCTTCTCGTAGGTTCGTTGGTCGAAGAGGTGTTCCAGAACAGGTCTATTCCGATAATGGCACAAATTTCGTCGGCGCGAACAACGAACTCCGTGAAATCTACGACATGTTTTATACCTCCGAGTTCAGAGAAGCGATAGGAAATTATGCTCTATCTAAGAGAATCGTGTGGCATTTTAACCCACCGTTATCTCCCCACTTTAGCGGGATTTGGGAAGCTGCTGTAAAGAGTTTTAAACATCACTTGAAACGCATTTTAAAGGATCACAAGCTCACATATGAGCAAGTTAACACCTTATTAATCGAAATTGAAGCGATTTTGAACTCGCGACCTTTATGCCCTCTTTCAGCAGATCCTAATGACCCTTTAACGATAACACCAGCACATTTATTGATAGGCCGCCCGTTCAATGCCTTACCCGAGAAATCTTTGCTTTCAGTGCCAGACAATCGACTCTCCACTTACAACTTTATCTCCAAGGCCAAACAGGACTTTTGGAAAAAGTGGCACAAGGAGTATCTTCACGAACTCCAGAGTCGCCAAAAATGACACGAATCGACGGCTAAGTTAAAACCTGGATCAGTTTTTATTCTCATGGATTATGTGACGCATTGTGCTAGATGGCCACTGGGTGTGATTCTCGAGGTGTTTCCTGGGAGCGACGGTATCGCCCGCGTTGCATCGATCAAGACTGCGAATGGCGTGTTTACCCGCAACATTACTCGTTTTTGTATGCTTCCGGTCAATTAGCTTTACGAAAAAAAAAAAAAAAAACATTGTACACATGTTACTTCTGGAATCATTTTAAAATCTCTCAATTGTTTGTGCTAACTTGTCTAATCAGCGAAGTAGTCCCTCCAACGGTAACAATTTACTTGTCTAGTCTTCGGCTGTCAAGTTACCGAAGATTCTCGTTAATTTCAGTCATGATTGTTAATAAGTGAATCTGTGTTGTAAGTTTGCGGTTCATAAGCTAACTCTTGTTATTATATTCTGTATTTTTTTTAAATTGATGTACCAATCTGCTTCACATCGCTACTTTGTTACTCTGTGTAGCAGCTTCCGCTGGGAGTATGTTACGTCATAACATGAACGGAGTGCGCGTGCGCAATGTGTGAGTGAGTTCGCGGCGTGTTCGCATGCGCGCGATGTTTGATGGCAGCACTGCTCTCGCGCTGCTTCCACTCGATCCCGCGTATTCGCGCGCATTTTTACTCAGTCGACTACTGTTACTGTTAGCGTGTGGAGCTCCCTCGCGAATCTAATCGTTCTGATCGTTTCGATTATCGTTATTGTCATAACTGCGAATGAGATCGAGGATCCAAGATTCTCAATCACACCGCGACTTTGAACCTGTTTCTTTTTATTACCAACCAAAACGCAAGACAACGAATCGCGTAATTTATTTTCGATCCAACGATCGAGTGCCTCCTTGGCATCTGTCAACGCCTTCCGGGCAATCCAATTCGTGTCCTTGCCTTCCAGGCATTTTATCAACGCCTGTTGAACAATTTATCGGTTGGTTTTAAGTGTGTGTGTATGTGTGTGATCGCGGGTGTGCAGTGCCTGTGAATCTTCGATGACAGGGCTGTAACTGTACAACCTCGCGGTGATAGTTCGACCGATAGTTTTTCGCGCCCGAACTGTAACGGCCATTTTGAGTGGGTACGCGAGAAGCGATACATTTTGCGTGCGACACGGACGTCACTCCGTTCTCATTTTCCACGAATTTTTTACCGTTTTTTTTTTGCTTTAGCTCTAAATTTTCATTGTATCCTTACTTTGTCTGTATTTTAATAAATCAGGGTTTTTTTTATACCGTTCCGGTTTCTTTTTCCCTTAGATTTTGTATTTTATTTTCCCTTTTCTTGGTAATTTAATTATTTGAATTACATTTAAAGGTTCAACAACATAACAATAAATAAAAGTAACGCATTAAATCAATCTTTTGAAATTAATTGTAAACTAAATTATGAACCGTAACTCAACATCTCAAAATTAGTAATAAATCTTATTCTTGAACATTCTTGTATAAATTTGAAATTTCAACACAGCCACACTTACCATCTATGGTAAGGTGGCCTTACAGCGTCAAAACGCAAAATATTGTAATTTTATTTTACATGTTTTCTACAGTTTACTACGTTGCCTACAGTTTCTCAGTTTCTTACACATATACGGTAGAATACCAAAAATTTTGTAGAAAACCCATCCCTGGAAATTACAGATAGAGATTTCTATAATATTCTTATGGTGACAAACTGACAAGTCAGGTCGTAACTATAGGGTTAGGAAAAGTATAGCAAAAGTCAATTTCCGACTTTGGAGTCAACTTGAAATTTTTCGACTTTTAAAGTCGACTTATTGTAAATAAAAGTCGACTTTTCGACTTAAATTGACTTGTAGAAAATCTAAAAATTTATGCAAAACAAATATTAAATAATTTAGATATTCATTATTATATCAGGTCTTTACATATTAGTACTGTTGTAAACTATTTATAAAAAAATGTAAACGAAGTAACTGTGCCAGGTAAGATATTTAGGATTAAACGTTACTTTACAAATCCCAGTTTTATTTAAGTTACATATTTTCATTTACTCATCGTAAGAATATCAACTCATTTAAATGCTGAGGTGACAAGCGGCCCAGGAGTGGTATTTCGTAACTAGTTAGCTGTACATCAACCATCAACCTATGCTACAACATAAGCTCACACAGTAAAAAAAGTTACAGAAATACAGAATATTACTCCAGAAATCTGTTTGCATTATTTAAAGCACTAACTGTTTTGCATAGACATTTAAGAAACATAGACGGCTCGTTGTTGGTTGTTACGTACGGCGCTGAAGCACAAGTAGAAGGAGATACAGCATCGAACGTGGGCACCGGTCTCTCTCGCACATTGCCAAAGGAAGGAATGTGTGAAAGAGACAGATACCCACGTACCATGTTGTGTCTCCTACTTGTGCTTTAGCGCCGTACATAAAAACGGGCAGTCTATATTTCTCATATGTCTTTGCTGTTTCTTAGGTATATGAATTTAAAGCTAATAGACCAAGAGCTGAGGCCGAAGAGTGGTCAAAATTTTAACCAGCCGCCACTTCTAGCAGAGTTGAAACACCTCATGACTCGTGGAAATCCGAAATATTTCGGTCATATTTTGTTGTGGTCAAGAGTTATGTGGTAATTTTAGTTGTGCCGTACGATGTTTTTTAATCAACCAACCGCAACTTACACCAATACATGGAAAATAAAAAAATTTTAACTGATAGTGTCATTTGCGACAAGATTAGAATGCATTTTGTACCCGAAAATCGACCCCCAAAAAATTTAAAAAAAATAAAAAAATTTTTTTTTGTAAAATAACTCCGTTTTTTAAATCAGCCGGTACATTTCGGCTAGCAAAAATTGTGTGGTATACGTTAGGTGTAACCTTTCTGTTAACCGTAGTATGGTTCGGTTAACAAGCAAAAAAAATAATTTTTTTTTCATCGCCCCATACCTCGGTTCTCGATGAATGGGGAGCATTAGTTTAAGTGGATGAAAGGTTGGAAATCGCTTATACTGCAATGTTATCAAGTGTCATCTGGTTATTTTGCTGATGCTATAATTACGCATCATTGCTCTAACTACACTACCTGTCTTAGCTTGCACCGTGACCTTAAGGCTGCAGTCACATGGAGCGCAATAGATCGAGCAGGATAGGAATTTCTTCGTAAGCGGCGGTGTTAAGTCTATGCGCCGCGCAATAGGGCTATTCTGCAGCGCAATAGACTTAACACAGCCGCTTATGGAGGAATTCCTACTCTGCTCGCTCTTATTGCGCTCCGTGTGACTGCAGCCTAAGAGACGTCAGTTCGGTTCTAAAAAGTCGATTTTTGTAAGTGAAAGATCGACCTTCGACTAAGGTCAGAGTCGACTTTTTTAACCCTAGTCGTAACTCGTAACTTATTTGAATCAGTGAATGGTACACCGGGGGTTACTCAAAACCGGCCTTCTTGTATTCTAATAATCTTTTGAACTCCACGATTCATATTAACGAACATTTAATTTTTCTTTACGCCAGAAGACCATAGAAATAACGAACGTTAATCTTCTATATTAGACACACATCATTAGTAGCGTATTGATGGAAATGGAATTGAACAATTATTATCATTAATTTGAAGCGTAACATGAAAATGACAGAATTCGTAGATGGATGGATTCTTGGTGAAGTATTAGGTGAAGGTGCATATGGAGAGTAAGTATTGCTTCACAATTATGTGAAGTCCTCACTTCGTAATAAGTTGTTTATTTGTTAACTAGTAAATATGAAGGATATGCTGACAGCTGTTGATGATAAGTTAAACATAACAATATATAAAACTTGTACTTGTTGAAAGAGCATTTTGTTATTCCTAATAAGTTGAGTATCTATACAGTATGGCATTAATTAAATATACCAACCCTGTCATCTCAAGTTAAAAAAACGTTACGTAGTTTGAGATGTAACAAAGTCATATAGTTACACCTCTCAATTTTACTAAATTGAGAAGAAACCTGGTCTAGTTGTAAGGATACCCTAAGGGTAATTTATTTGACGGTATGGCTGCTGGAACTTGTCTGCTAGTTTCAGCTTCCCGACTTCAGTACAGAAATCAAGAATTTTTGCAAGGTATTTGACATGCAAGTGAACTTTTTAAAAGTACTTTTTAGATCTACCATCCATTACAATAATAGCTTAAAAATATTCATGCAAATTTCTTGATGGCATTGAATTCTTACACAAATTCTGTGATGAAGCAGAAACTAGATGACAAATTTCAGCAGCAATACCGTCAAATAATAAATGCTATCTTGAGTACTCTTTAAACCAAAATGTGTACCCCTTTTTTAACTAAATTACAAAGGTACCTAGTCTAGTTTTAAGGGTACCCTAAGTAGAATTTTTTTATTTGACGATATGGCTGCTGGAATTTGCCTGCTAGTTTCAGCCTCATAATTTTCTTCTGGTTTTGAAAGTCATCAAAATGTATATTTTTAATTGTGAGCACCTATCTATTTTACTGTGGTTTGATTAATAAGAAGTTATAAGAATTTATTTACTTTATGCGCATCTTGTGCAAAAAAATTACTTGTAATGAGATCATTATTTGTACACCAATTGAATTGAATACATTACTTAAAAGAAAAAATAGTATGATACCATATTGATAATTTTGCATAGTAGAGAATAGGTCACAAGAACAAAATTTTCTACTTAAAGTATTAGTCTCCTTTTAGTACATCTGTTAGACTTTAAAAATATAGCTTTCTCAACAGATAAACAACAAGCATGCAGATGTATTAAAAAATTAATTTGAATTATTAAAATTTTGGAAAATTCTTCATACAATATCATAGACGTAAAATGGTCTCCGATTAGGACAAAAAGTATTAGTAATATAATGTATTTTTAATAAATAGCTAGTGCTAAATTTTATATTGCTTATTGTAACAATCTATACCAGAACTGGCAGTAATTTATTATTTGCCATTAAAAATAAATTAATGGTAAGAAATTTTGCCGCAAAAATGCATACATATTCATATGTTACGTCGGCGCGACGAATTATTTTAGTCTAAGCTTGCGCTTAATCACTCGGAACTCACACTGGGCGCGTAGGTGTGACGGATAGTTGAATTACGTGGCAGAGTATTCGAAAACAGGGTTCGAATGTTTTCAAGGAAAGGTAATTAAGTTGCAATAACTCGAAGCGGTTGTTGTGCTGCATCCCGATGCACTCACTTGCGGTGCGTTTAAGAGTTGTCAATATTAGTCAGACCGGCGTATTGAAGATTTCCCGTTCGCGATCTAAAAACTGCCAGTACCGTCACACGCAAAGGTGTCGTCCTAGAGTTTACGTAAGGGAGCAAATTGTGGTTTAATTCGCCACCAGTCTACAAGCCACTAATACTGTCATGAGTAATGGTGTATGTTCTAGATGTTACTTGTTAAACAGTCGATTATTTATTTCCCGGGGATCAGAGGGTACCGAAATACTGTCGTGAGTATTGGTGTGCACGTTTGACTCTATGCCCGCGCCGAAAAGAATAGAAGGAAAAGAAATCGGAAACATTCAATAAATTTTACTTTACACTTACTTTTATTTAATTTTTTATAAGGAAACAATTGTACATGCGTCAAACCAGCGCGGGATGTCCGAAATCAAAATTCAAACCGCGCTCATTGAAGTCCAAATAGCAAAGGTGGACTCTGGCTACCCAGGCGACTGTTAAAGGATAAAAACAAGCTGTGTCTTCACCTCGTAGTAGACTGGGAGGTAGCAGAGGCAGACTCTTACTACTCAGTCTTATACCGTTTGACGGGTGAAAATACAAGCAGTCGATTAATTGTTTGTCTCCTTTTTTTAACAATGTAGCTCTCTGTTCTCTGTTAAGAATAGCAAGAGCCTTAAAAATTGCTTTGTACTTTCTTTCACAAAGAGCTTCGTGAGACTCGTCTACGTCTACTAAATACATTTTGAAAAGCTTGTACGTTAAATACCACGTAATGGTGGTTGCGACGGTACGGTGACGTAGTTAATACTTACACGATTACATGTATACTCATATCTATAAATGTACATCTCAATGTAAATCTACACATGGGTTGGTTTGATGTATGTTTCGTCAGCTGATTTGTCTCTACGTTCACATCAAACGCCAATCTCTTCTTCTCTCAACTATACTCTCTTGGGTAAATGTATCGAACATGCAGCGGAAAAACATTACTTGACTTGGTATCAAACTACGAAAATGATCAACTCGTACAGTTTTAATTCTTACAAAGTTGTAGTACCTTATTCGAATTTTGGAAGATGCAAGTCCTGAATAGCTCAGTTGAATAATAATTTCATCGGCATGAAACGTTGATTTAACTTGATCTCTTCAAGACTTGCATATTATTTTTTTTTATTCACATATTTTATTACTCTTCATATTTAGAAGTATGGAATTTTTTTAAAATGAAATTTCGGATCGCTAATTCCTCCTAAAAAAATCATAAATATTGATTACAAGATTTATTTGCTCTATTTTTTTATGTACAATAAAAATTCATTGATTATTTTTTTTGATTATCACTGATACTATCCACAGGCTTGACAAGAGGAAAATGATTGTTGTGGACTTTCACTTTTAAGATTCCGGAAGGCTTTGTAATGTGCATCATTATCCTGCAATGCTTTTAGAGATGAAGTCTTAATGATTAATTGTTTTAACAAACACGCTCTATTCGCTCCGAGCCGATGCAGAGGTTGCGCCCCCTCTAGCCAAAATCAGGCAACATTTCTTGCATGTAAACAAACGGTTTAGAACATATATACATACGTACAGCTGCTTGTGATTGGCACTCTAAACCGTTTGTTTACATGCAAGAAATGTTGCCTGATTTTGGCTAGAGGGGGCGCAACCTCTGTATCGGCTCGGAGCGAATACAGTGCACAAAATAACTGTTTATCTTCGACATGTTTTTGTGCATGCATTAGAAATATTAGTAAAGCAATTTTTTTTGTTTCCATGCATTGTAAACGAGGTATGAGTTTGCGATGAGTCATGAACCTTGCGTTCTAATATCAAATTTACGAATTCAGCTCCATCATTACCATGCATGTAAATTATCTTGAGATTTTTAGTAAGTGTAATAAGGTAATATTTCAAATCATTTATTGTAAAATCACCTTCTAACTACTCTATCCCGTGAACTTCTAGTGTGTGGTGGTTATTACGTTTTTTTTACATCCTAAGTTAACTCTTTGAATGGATGGGGTGGTTTAATTAACCAATGTCCGATGATGTTTGCTTGTACCGATACCACTACAACTTCATTTTGTATTACATACCTAGTTTTGGAACAAAAGTGAAACAAACAAGTTCTGTTAAAATTCATAACATTTTCGTAACATTTAGGGGTAAACGCACCATCTACCGTACACCCGTAAATTCACTTTATTTTGTTACCATGATTGTAAGACAGTTTGATACTAAATATTGACTCAGTAAATTTTAAATTGTTATTTAGGATCTCAAGAGAGCACCCAAATTTTTTGGAGGTGTTAGAGCTTGATAAAATGATTTTATAATAAAAATATGAAATAGAAGTCGTGTTCCTATTTCCGTACTGCCGTTCTCATTACCGGACCCCATCTACCGTACGTGTTCCTATTACCGGACCCCATTCACCGTTTGACGACAGATTTGACTATAACCTCACATTTTTGTTTACAACTGCATATCGATCTCAGTGCCTGCTACATAAATCACGATGAAAATGTCAAAAGCAGAGAAAGATGGAAAATTGAAAATTAAGGAAAAAACGCCAAGTCAATTATGCAATTCAAAAAGATAGCAGACAGAAAAATCAAAAAAGAAAAACAATTACAGAGAGAGAAACAAAGATTAGAAAAAGAAAATAAAAAATTACGAAAGCAAGAAGAGAAGTTAAAAGCCATTGTAAACAGAAAAAAGTCTGTTGAGGAAGATTTAATGGACGAGACAGAAGCTATTGATTTACAAAAGCAGATTGGAGAACTTCAAGAGAAACAATTAAAACTAAACCAAAAAAGAAACAAAGATCCATCATGAGTAATTTTTGTAATGCAAGTTATTCTTGAATATTCATAACATCGTAAGTTGATTACTATTATAGTCTCAAGCTTTTTTACTGATTTTTGTCAGTCTAATTAAAATATTAAAAAGCAATAATATCTCATGATATGAAACAGAAATCTTTTTAATGAATAAATTTTTTTTTAATAAATGCAAATAAGTTATTTCATACAAACAAGCAGTAATTAAACTTAGATTAGTTTCAGCTTAACGACAATTAAATCTATTAATACTAAATAAAACTTCACTTGGCAAAAATTATTCAAGAATAACTTGCATTACAAAAATTACTCATGATGGATCTTTGTTTCTTTTTTGGTTTAGTTTTAATTGTTTCTCTTGAAGTTCTCCAATCTGCTTTTGTAAATCAATAGCTTCTGTCTCGTCCATTAAATCTTCCTCAACAGACTTTTTTCTGTTTACAATGGCTTTTAACTTCTCTTCTTGCTTTCGTAATTTTTTATTTTCTTTTTCTAATCTTTGTTTCTCTCTCTGTAATTGTTTTTCTTTTTTGATTTTTCTGTCTGCTATCTTTTTGAATTGCATAATTGACTTGGCGTTTTTTCCTTAATTTTCGATTTTCCATCTTTCTCTGCTTTTGACATTTTCATC